AAGATGCTTGACTCCGGCCTATGAGCCACACCGATCCCGAATGGTCACTGAACGCGAAACGAACACTTCATTCTAACCCTATAACGCCTTCAAGAACGCCATTGATCTTTATGTAGCAATATCACTCGGTGACTTTCCCCCCCCCGGATCCGGCTTGAAATTAGGCAAACTATTGATTAATCAGCACACTTTTCCCATGCAACGTATGGCTGGCAGTAAATTAGTAGGATAACTTCACTCGGCTTCGCAAAAGATCAGTACGTATAATGATTGCGGGGAACACGTATTCCACGCACCAGTTAGGGACGCTCACCGAAGACCAGATCTCCCAACGTTTTTTTAAATTGTGAATGGCAGTTGATCTTTCGGTAAATAACCCCACTTGCCAAATGGTAAAACTGTTTGCGGAATTTTATGCTGCTGACATGCGCGAACCAAGGTTTCATTTTTGGAGGCCATAACTTTTGACGGTGTGTTGACCTGTAACGTCGTTTGAGCGCCAAAGCAAAATTTTAGGCAAAAGGCCCTTTCTGGCTAAGGCATCACATTCTGTACAATGTCTTGTTAACTGTGTTTCTTCCTTCCTATTCCGTCGAAAAACCGTTTAAATTTATTCGGCGATTTCAATGTCCTTTAATCAAACATTTATCAGCTCCAAAATATATTTTAAAGTTATTTACGTTTGAAAGTGGTAAACAGTTTTTTAGCCTTATATTATTTTCGCAACTCACAGCGTAAATTCCAACTACTAGCACTTGCATGCTAATTTTCACAACCCGCGAAATGACGGGCACTCTCTTACTCTAGCTCTTTGAAGAGCTTTTTGGGTGAGACTTCGTTGTGCACTCCCCTACTTTGAAAATTTGCCATTGCTCAGATAACTTTTAGCTTCGTATGTCCTTCGGTTTCTGAACGTTTATGCCGTTCTTTTGCTTTGCTAGACTCTTGGTATATCTTATTTTTTTTGCCGAACAAAAACTACGAAAATTGCCCAATTTTGCATTTTTAATTTTATGTGGTAATTAACAGTTCCTATGGTTGAAATTCCAAAGTAGTCCTTTTTGCTGTTTTAATGTAGGTTGATGAACTATTTTCATTTTATGAAAAGAGCACCTTCATACTGCTACCTCCTCTCAATTGCCACAGTGACCTCCGTTTGCTGCTATTTTTACGCGAAATGAGGGGAGATAGTAATTAACGTTGCACAGAATTGAAGTGTTGTCCATTACATGCAGTATAAAGTTTTCATTCTCTCTTTGCATGCAAGCCTGTTGAGGTTTACCGTGGTAGGCGCATAAGCGTCAAATAAAGCCATCTAAGGAGGAACTCATCTTCGCCATGCATTTTTTGTCGTCTCTAGCGGTAGAAGTTCCTGGTCCGCTCTGCCTACCCAATCTCAACGCCACATGCACCTGCTTGGTGACTATCCGGAACCATTAACGCTGGAGCAGCTATTGGCTAGTCAGAAAGAACAGAAAGCCTACCTCAAGCGACAGGCTGCCATGATCCACGTGGATGAAATCCTCCAGAAGGCCAAGTAGGTTGACGTCACCGTAAAGGGGCGTACAGCAGGCCCTCTTTCTCATCTTGCACCAGCTAGGGATACTGTACTTGGGAAATGTTGGGCCGATAGGGCTTTCTTGTGAGGCCGCCTTTGTCTGTGTCTAATAATTAAAAAAACTACTTCCAAGTTTTCAGTAGATCGAATTTCTGCCTATTCACAGACTTCCCTTGTTATGTTATTCAATAGTTGTTTTAACATTGCTATTGGTTAATAGACATCCTTTCCTGACCAACAGGAGTTTACGTTGGTCGATTTTGTTCTTTCCACATGCTTTTCACATATATTTTTAGTTCAGTAAAACAATGAAAAGTGACTTCAACTTATTTTCCACTGTGCACTTATCATGCTTTAATCACGCCTTAATCAAGCAGTAAAAATTTAATCACAATAAACCTATGCGGGGGACCTTTTGCCATTAGGTGACCTCACAAGAATGCCTTACCGTTCGGCCCCAAAACGGGCTATGCTGTTCTTGCACAAAACCCGAACAGAGACCAAATTGGCGCATGACAGGCGTTTATTGGATTGCACCGAGTTTGCACAACTACAATGTGGGTTTTTTGCATGCACTTCTTTATGGCCGTCCTCAGAAACCGCACTTGATAACAAAAATTATATTCAGATAATGTGCGTGTTTTCTGTTGGTTTTCGAGGCCATTATAAAGTCAAATAATATCATAGAAAACACGCATAAAGCTAGTCTCTCCTGTACTTGTCGTCTACATGTCATCTCCAGATTATATACTCAAAGAAAGGGAATATTTATGATAAAATGTTTCTTTTCAATTCCCGAATAATTTTGAGTCCGATTTGCTATTGCATTTGCGTTTAGGGTTGTCCGTCTGCAAGCTGTATGCTTTGCATGTCAGGTAGATCATACATTTCCTTATGCCATTAAAAAATACCGTATGACACGTTGGCAGTCGTATGCAACGAGGCCCACCGTGTACACCATTACGAGGTGGTACAGGGACGGCAAATTGCGCGTGAGTTAGATTACACTGAGAAGAGACTTGCGCTGCATCTACTACATTAGCTCCTTCTCCCCACTCGACACCCGGTGTCATAATCAACTCAGAAAGACTGGAGGCAAAAAAGGGTTCATAAAACTTGCAATGGGTGTGCACTTCCTTTGCAGCATTAATAAACGTACAGGTAGGATGCTAGTTGCACGGAAAATACTGCGTTGTGGGCACTCGCAATCATACAATTAAAAAAACTAATATATCCTTTCTTCGAGCACAAAACTTGAAGAAGATGACTA